TGCAGTACCTTTAAAATATTGATTTCTTAATTTTGGGTTGGAAAAGTGGGGGTCGTCTTGTACATGGGGGCGTCTTATTACATGGGGAAAAATACGGTAAAACTATTTTCATTTTTAAAAAAGCACCAGAGATACACTGAGGCTGCAAAATAAATTCATGGTTTTTTTAGGAGAATTCTACAAATTCTGCTTCTTTTATTCTTTCCCATTATTTATCTAAAACTACAATCCCAGAATCTATAACATGTAATGATATTTAGTGGTAAAAATCTAGTGCCCAGAGTTGCTCTGCAGGGAGATAGGCAGTAACAAATTTGAAACATAAATAAATAAATACATAAAAAGAATGCAAATAATTCAAACAATATCTCCTTAAATAAATTTTCTTGGTAATTTCACCCCCCCCCCCCAATTTAGGCTGATTAATTTATAGGTGAGCTGTCACTAAACACCAGTTTATTACACGGAGACAATCTGAAATAGATTATTAACACATTCAAAGTACCTATTTTTTTTCTAAGCCTACATCAGATATGAAAACTCATATCACAGACATCAGTCTAACAGAACAGAAGCTAGAGGAAGATCAGTGGTGAAGGCAGAAGAAAGGAATCACTGCTTTTTCCACTGTGCTTCTTCCATTGGCTTTGTTGAGGCTGGTTCCTCTGGAGGCCAGATGGCACAGCCTCTCAGTAGCACAAGATAGGTTACCAGAGAAAGTAAGTAGCATTTGGAACAAAATATATTTTCTGACTGGGAGGGCTGAGGCTCAGCCTTCTATTGTAATCAGATGTAATTGTAATCAACATAATCTTTCCATTTTTTAAAAATCGATCTTGTTTTTAGTTGACTGAAATACATTTTTAAGTTCAGAAAAAGTGTGAACAAAAGTCTTTCATCACCAGAAGTGTATTTCAAGGAAAAAAGCCATCAGTCTGAAGGCTGTGTCTCAAATAGTAATATTCATAATAGAATAGACAACATTAAAAAGACAAACATCCAAGTACTGAAGTAATCTAAAAGCCATTCATTCATAAGACAGTTGCACTCAGCAACAAGCTAGTTTTAGTAATTTGAAGGTTCGAAGTAAAGAGCAGATAAAGGTAAATTAAAAACATTTAATGACAAGAAATGTATAAGATATATTAACTACAATAGCAGAACATACCTTCCATCCATATTGCCAGTGGTAGCTGGAGAATACTTTACTTCATAATGTAATATTTCTTTTGGTTCAAGAACAAGCTTGTTTTCACCACTAAGTATAGTAGCATCTATTAATTCTATATCTAATGGCAGAACTTCAGTTGTGGGATTAGTTACTGGAATTCCAATGACAACATTATCCTAAGAGAGACAGAAGTTTTCAAACCTTAGTGAGATGACAGGAAAATAATGTTTATTTGAAACAGTACTGAAATTCTCTATACAGTATGCATCTCCCAGGTCTGTTTATTGACTGTATCTCATTAAATACAGAACAGTTTATATGAAAAACAGATTGTTCTGGAGCCCGACTGCTTCAAGTTGTACATCTGCAGCTAAGGGTGTCTTACACAGCTTCAAGATGCAGTTCTTCCTACAGGAGACAGACAGACCTGCCTACTGTAACTGATCTCATAATTACCCAGCTTTTAGGTAATTCTTCTTAGGCTTGAAGAATGTATAGAAGGTACTTTAGTGCAAAATGCAGATGCCATATTGCTTTCTAGATTATATGTTATAAAACATTGTTTTTAAATAAAATTATTTTTATTTGTTTCCAGGTCAATTCAAAGTGCTGGTTTTTGGCTGGGATCAAAAATTTTTCTGTACAAATCTGCCCAGGGGCATCCACGGGGGATATCAAGAAAAATCAAGATGGCAGTATGATCAAAGACCCACACCATTTTTACATCCATCACTGTGCAAAAAAAGTGCTTATTTCTCCTGTTCTAAATTTCCTTTAGTTAGCTTCATCTGATGACCCCTGGTCTTAATATTTTGAAGGAGTAAAACTTCTCCATGCTCACTTTCTCTACATGCCATGCATAATTGTATTCACTTTAATTATATCTTTGGTCAGCCATCTTTTTTCTAAGCTAAAGAATGCCATATATCTAGCCTTATTTATTTATTTAGTTAGTTAGTTAGTTAGTATAGCTGCCTATCCCACATAAGTGATTCTGGGTGGCTCACAACATTAAAAAAAATCAACAAAAACAATAAAATACAAATTAAAAAAACATATAAAACCATCTTAAAAATCATCTTAAAAACCATAATAATAACATAACCATTGAACACATTTCACATCACAAACAGATCCCCAAGCCTGATGGCAAAGCCACACCTTCAGAGCTTTCTGAAAGGACAGTAGGGTCGGGGCCAATCTTATCTCCAGGGGAGATGATGTTCCAAAGGGCAGGCACCACAACAGAAAAGGGAATCTTCCTGGGTCCATCAGATGACACTCCTTAATGGATGTGACCCACAGCATGCCTTTCCTGATAAATCTGATGGGACAGGTAGATATAACTGGGGAGAGGCAGTCCCTCAAAAACCAGGTCCTGTGCCATGTAGGGCTTTATAGGTCACTACCAACACCTTGAATTGAACCCGAAAGCATAGTGACAACCAACGCAACTTGTGAAGCAGAGGTGTCACATGTGCTGATTGGGGAGTACCCATAATTGCCCACAAAGCTGCATTTTGCACCAGTTGCAACTTCCAGATGCTCTTCAAGGAAGAGCATATTACAGTAATCCATTCAGGAGGTGACCAAGGCATGACTCAACATGAGTAGAGTCTCCTGTTCCAGGAATGGGCCCCAGAGCATAGGACAACCCAGAAGAAACAAAAGTATCACAAGCATAATAGTATCCACCAGCAACGATAGCATCCTTCCCATGATGTAGCCCAGGAACACCATCCAGGTAGGCTTAATGACCAAAAACAGCAGCTACTTTTATATGAGAGAAGAAAAGCATCAAGTGTGCATGCATGGATATGGGCCAGAAGAGTTGTAGGGAGCACCAAAGGGTGCAAACAGTAACCTCAGGATGACAGAGAGGTATGCATGTGGGAGCATGATGGGAGTTTAGCAGCAGTAATAAGCAATATGGTAAACTGCAGTCCTAAAAGTCCCAGACAGGATGAACTTGGAGAAGACGAGGGTTGGAGAAGAAGACAGTCTTCTGTTTTCCTTCCCTCCCTCCCTCACCCCATGCAGGACTAGTCAAGGTGGTGGCAGCTTCGAGGAGCCCAGATCCTAAAATCTCTCAAGAAGCGGCTGAGAAGCAGCTAAGGGGGATCCAAGAAAGCCAACAAGGACACTGTTCCAGTGGCTGGGTGTAAACAAGCTGAGAAGAAGCTACAGTGCTGGTAGACAGTCAGGCATTTGCAATAAGAAAAACACTTCTTAAAGGGCACTGGGTGAAGTATTAAGGCTAAGAGGGAAAATGACACTTCAGTGGGGGAAGATGGGTGACAGTTGTTCCAGTGAAATGATAACCTTAAAAGAGAAGTCTGGAGGAGCTAATGGAAACAGATTACCCACATTACCAAACACTTGGAAAGAGGTTCAATTGGGAACAGCAAGTGACTCAAGGTTGGGGGAGCAGGAGGCAGAAAATCCATCAGTAAGTATACAGGATAATGATTAAAAGAAGCTAAAGCCTAATAATAAAAATAAAATTATAATAATGGAGAAAATTCCAGGAAGACGATTTTCTTCCTGAAGGTATAGAAGAAAAGAACAGTGCTTCACATTGTAATGTAAGATAAAAATCAGAACACAGTAGAAATCAGAATTATAAGGAAATAATGCAATACAATAGAAACTAAGTTTCTAAGTTTTTATGCATCCGTATGAACAGAATAAAGAATCAAGCACAGGACAATAGAAAGCCAAGATAAGTTATGGTAAAATATAAGCTAAGTTATAATATGATGAAGAACAAACCCCTAGAAATATATAGAGAGATAAGATTTAGAAGTTCAGCAAATAAGAATTCATGTCCTTATTTGGGTAAGAAGCAAGTTTAATTTGTATACCTTTCCATAATAAAATATTCTTTTTCCAATGGTCGCCAAATGTGTTCTGACCCATCTCTAACAGAAGAGACAGTTGGTAGGAGAGGTGGGATGCTGCAACTCTGATAGGAGACACTGATTGATAAAATAACAAATAAGATACTATCAGGCTCCAACAATAAGATGGGTAGAAGTGAATGAAAGCATAGGTTACCTTCAGACAGACTTGTGAGAGATTGGAAAGGAATGGGAAAGGTCAGCCAGGTAGTACTAGACCTAAATAGATTTGAAGCTGGAAATCCACAGTAGTGGCTGTAGAAAAATGTGTGTGTGTGTGTGTGTGTGCACGCACGCGCACACGTGCGCAACTAAAATTCCTAAGAGCTATCATTCAGCACTATCCCCAGCCCAATAGGTATCAAATGCATTATTACATTTAGAGGCAAGTATGATCAAGATGAGGGTATAGCCCCATTTACTTAAAAAAAAAAAAATCCCCAAAAGATTTGGCTCCTCTAAGCCTACAGAATAGTGTTTTATTTGACAAGTGGTGATATTTGGCTGAAAATCTTCATGCTAATGGGTCTGTGCTGTGATTGGTTAAACAACCTCTTAAAGTACTGTATATGATATATTGAACTCCAAGGAGACTTAAACTTGACATCTGACTATCTTCCATGCTATCTTTATGAACTCATAAAGGTGAACAAACAAAGAGCTTGGATGTTGGTGTGATTTAATGCCTGACCTTCAGCTTTGCTAGCGGGAATGTACTGTAAAATTCCACTTTCTAAACATGTTTTTCTGAAACCGTTTCCAGAACTGTGACTTCTCTCTCTTTCTCTTTTTACTCTTTTACTGTTTGCAGAATTTTATTGTTTGTTTTTTTTTGTTCTCATTGGAATTGTCTGAAATTCTTTTTTTAGTATCTCATTTTTTTTAGGAACTATCTTGATCTCCATTTTACGATTAGCTTCCATGGAATCCTGCTCAACATTACTCTGAGTTTATATAAATATTCATAAACACTTAGCTTTTGTTTTCCTTAACTACCTAAGTTTTTTTTTTTTTTTAATTGTGCTTTTAAATTTTGTGGCTCTTCATTAACATTTTAAGATGGAATCATGATAGCAAACTACAGAAGCATACTGAGAAATAAACAAAACGTACAAATGGGCTTGCATGGATTAGATATTTCCATATAAGCACTTACAGACATCGCAAAGCCTTTTATCCAATATTCCAAACACTGATCTTAATCTAAGAGTCTATTTAGATTACACCCCTTTCAATTACAGAAAGAGATCAAGGTTAAAAAAAAACATGGGTGAAAGGGCATCATCATAATCCATCTCTGTTCAGGATGTCAGGATGCTCTGTCCTATTCTCTACCCCTTCTATAATCAGAAATTTCAGTGAATGTTATTCAAGAGCACCTACATTATGCTGCAATGGATATTTAATACTACTACACTAATTGACATCGTATTAATACATAGAAAGGTGTTAAAACACAAGTGACTTTTCAAAAAATAGTATTGTATGTCAAAATCTGCTTAAGACAGGATATCTGTTATATAATCAAGCTGTTAATGTTTCCCTCATTTTAAGAACTCCTACTGAGCAAACACAATTATTTTTTAAAAAAACCAAATCCTTATTTTCATGATCATAATTTGTTTTGAGTCTTATGATGCATTTAATGTAACTGTCCCAAAGTCAAATAAGTCTCATTTGGTTCAGTTACCAAGAGTTACTGCATATTGATACCAGTGGGGAAAAAACTTAGCAGTTTCAACATCTCCTTCAGTAAATTAGTTGTTGAATTTCAGAGCAATCTAATACAGAAAAAAAACAAGTTTTATAGGCTTGTTTCTGCTACTGTTTAAAGCAAGCTTCTTCTGAATGAATTTAAAAACTGAGATTAGGTATTCAGAGTGAGAAATCAATAGACCATTTTTATATTTTATATTTAAAGAACAGAGAAAGCATAAAGCAAATTAAAAATCTGGATGTGTGTATATATATATGGCACACTGAGCAATTCTTTTTCATAAATAACTATACATTGAACTATACAGTGAATAGTATGTACATGTATAATATATATATTTCCCAGGAACAATTATTATTTTGAACCAGGAGTGCCCAAATGGTGGCTTAGGAGCCACATACAGCCAGAATTTATCATGTCAGCTATGTCAACAATCATCATTTGCCTAACTTCACAACCGAAAATTGAAAGAAAAAAAAAAACTGTTAAGTTATAGGAAAGGCAGGAAAAAGAAGCACCAGATTTAAACTATGGCAGCTGTAAGGACTGCACTCTCATGTTATTACAGAGAAATCAATTGTTTAAAATGATTTCAGTCTAAAATGCAGTTAAGATTTTTATCTAGCCATGACATGTTAAGTATCTGCTGAGTTCAGTTCAGGGAGCCTGACAATTATTCGGAATGTAAGAGAGTAAAGAACCATTTAGAGTGTTCAAGCTTTTAAAAAGCTTATTATTGCTTGGGCAAGATTTTCTCAAAGAATTCTGAGGAATCCTAGATAGAAAACCAAGCTGACTATCCAGGAACAAAGATAAACCCAGGACAAAAAAAAAATAAAAGACAGAAAGTATTATATACTATCATGGGTGTCCTTTTTTCCCCCCTTCAAAATTTAAGCATAATCCCACTAATCCTGGGATATCTCTAAAGGATTCATTAGTTTTCTATCATCACCAACCTCTTTCCTGATTTAGAAATTTCTTTCTTTTTTTTCTTCCCTCTATTCATAGACAGACAGACAGACAGACATAATGTGATTTGGAGGAATATTGCAAAGATACAGAACACTCCCTTTTTTAACATTTTAGAATCAAATTAAATTTAAGTCACTTAAAGTGGATTGCAAGTGATTTCCCTTAATATCAGAATTCAGTTTAACTTTGTGAAGCGTCTTACTTCATATCACAAAATGACTCTTAGTAATTTATATTTTACAATGTATCTATAATCTGCTAATCCTTGCCTTCCCTGGCACTGAATATATATTTATAAGATCAATGCTCTAACATATGTCAATTTTCCTAGGACTGTGAGCATCCCTCAGACTTGAAGTTCAACCTACTCATCCCAAACCATTCTCTCCTCAGTTCCTTCTGGAATATAAAATGGGAGGAAATACTCCCATTACCATGCTTTGAGTGATGGTTCTACTACCCAGTCATAACAGAAGACTGCCACAGCCTCAACATTTATGAGGGTAGTGCTGCTTTGAATCTTATCCTGGAATACCTGTCCCTTGACCCAGAGTTCAACAGGAATCATCTAAGAAGAATGGAGTAATTTGCCCCTTCCACTCAGAAACAGTTTAATAATACTTACTGTATCATCAGTGCTCAAATTGATCCCTCAAGCTCTATCTTAAGGAAGGTGGGGGGGAGGGTTTAACAGGGTGAGTTTCCCTGATAGACCTGTGATGAAGCAATGGTCTCAAGGTTAAAAATTGGTTTGTTCATTTTTTCCTGTGAGCCAAAGTTAGGCTCCTTGTTATGTAGGTATCAATATGTTTTGTGCCAAATTAAAACACCTGGACACAGGCACATCTGCCTTATAACTGTATATATCAAAAAGATAGAAGTATTAAGAAATGGAAGAAGTTGCTAGTTATTCCAGGAGCTGTTCTATGAGCATGGACTGGTACTGTGTGTATCAAGGAAGAGGAATCTGCAGTTGGAGATCCAGCAGAGGAGAGAGATCTGCTAAGCAAACTGACTGGTGGAAAGGACTGCATTTTGTGGAGAACAACCAGCTTAACAAAGGTGCTAGAATCCAAGAAGCTCAGAAAAGAGTTGTTTTTTCCTCTTCCTGTTCTCCTCTCCAGGACAGAAGCAAGCCTGAACGTGAAAGCCCAGAAAGAAGTTGTGTGAGGGAGGAAGTGGACAGCTAAGACACTGTAAAAAGTTATTTTTGAAATTGAACTGCATATGCATGGTTTGTTAAATAAGGCCATCACGTATACTGAATAATCAGGAGGAGCCTGGTAGCACCTTTTCCAACTAAAACATTTTATTGAAAGGCATCTTACCTGAGCTGCAGCTCACAAAACCTTATTCCTTCTGATTTTTTGCTGCTATAGAGTAACATAGCTCTCTTCCTACAATGTATGTATTAATTATCACTCTAAGTAGAGAAGAACTGCATGCCCATGTCTGGGAAGTTCCTGTTCCTTTTCCTACCCTCTGACAATAACCATCAGTTCTCCTTTGATATTATTCTCATTAACATTTTCTTATCACTGTTTCTATACTTTTCATAAAATAGCAGCAAGATCTGAATTTTCCTGAGCCTGACATGTTTTTATGATAAGAAGACATTTCTTACATGTGAAACTTCTGTGCTAATCCCTCTATCTTATAATTATGGCACAAAACTTCTTACCTCGTTTCTGAAATTTATTTCAGGGGAAAAAAAACTATTGGGGAACAGCACAGAATCATATACTATATAAGAGAAAGTAAGTCCAATGTATCCAGAAACAGTAACATTATACACAACAACTGTAGAGCAGCCATCTCAAATCAGGTGTTCTCTGTATATTTTGGATTTCAACCCCAATAATTTGCCAAACAGAATAGCCAGTAGGTATGTTGGTTGAGGATTAAAGAAGAGCAACAGACTGAAGGATGGATGAATGGATGGATAGTGCACACAATCCTATGGTTTCTTACTTAAAAAAAGTAACATTCACTGTACTCCTATCTTAGAACAGTGCATGCTGGATTAGAAAATATAACATTTTACAGAATTATCCCAGGATAAGCATAAAGAAGCTTCAGACTACAATAAACTAATCTATAGTCTTAGGTGATGTGGTTTAAGAAAAGCCCATCCTCAAAGATGATGTTATACAAGGTTTAAACTGTATAATAAAAAAATGCAGAACACCTTTTCTTTCTTTTTCTTTTCATGCCATAAAACACAGCTGCAATTAGATTTCTCTCTGAATTTAGAAGATGCCTATAAGTCAGAAAACATGCATCCCGCCTCATCAGTAAAATCACAGTTCACCATATGAAATAGACAACTGCTTTCTAGCATTATTAATGAAAGCTGACTTACCAAAACGGCACATTCAACATCTAGAGTTTTTTCTGGTTGTGCTGGCATACTATGTATCTCCAAGGAGAACCACACTTTGCAGCATGCTGACTTGTATTCTGAGAAAGAAAGAAAGAAAGAAAGAAAGAAAGAAAGAAAGAAAGAAAGAAAGAAAGAAAGAAAGAAAGAAAGAAAGAAAGAAAGACAGTCCTGAGTCTCAGCTGAAGGCTTATTCAAGCATTTCACGTATAGAAAACCTTCACAAACTTTAACATTTAAATTACATAACTGCTTTTGGAGTATTCTGACTGTTTCAAATACATGCCAAGGAGCAGAATGAGTTGATAGATTTATTTTCTTAGGCTTATGGGAGTAAATTTTGTTATTATTTAAATGCCAATTAACCTATTTAAAAAATGCTGATTGATGCTTAAAAGGTTTGAACCAAAATAGTTTGAAAATTGAATTTTTCACATATTTCCTTACATGACAAATTTCAGTTACATGTTTCACTGGACATTTTGTGCTTCTGAGCCAAAGGAAGGCAAGTAAACAGATCTTCCTCTTTTGGATAGCCAGACTCTTTCAGACAGTTCAACAGTTGCCCATGTCTTTTGCCCAGTAACCAATATTCTAAACGAGAGGTTGTTCTCTAGACAGATGATGTGATGACACACATGATTCTTGCTTGGATGATGACTTGGTGGAAACAACTCATCTTCTTCAACATTCCCTGCTAAGTTATTTTGACCTCTCACTAGAGAGTGATCGAGGACTAGACTTACACCACATCTTCCAGACCATTACCAACATGGTGCTATCTCTCAGACACCAGCTCACCTGGCTTAGACTTGGAACCAGTCACTATATTAACTAAATGATGAACACTGGAATATAGGTTGGAGATCTCAGCCACTGTGCCACTAAGTGATATGTGCTGAGGTTCACAGTCCATATGCCATCTGAGTGATGTACACTGGATGCCTTAGACAATGAAATACCTTTTAACACACACACACACACACATACACAGACACACACATTTACTTATTTATTTGATTTATATAACTGATTTATATGCATACTGTCAGGCTATCTTTTACTGAAGCTTCACAGAAAATTGACATGACACAGCAAATAATGAATTTTGATTGTAATACTATAACTTAAGCCATGTCCAACAGCTGATTGCCTTGTAGTCAAAACTACTGCCACATCTTACATATTTTTAGTTTAACTTCAGCACATTTTTCTCCCACCCTTTCAATGGCTTAATGGAAATCTTGTTTTCCACTTCCCATGCTTGCAACAGCTGAAACTGGCAAAAGAGGAACCAGTGGTTTCCAGGCTAGAAAGAACATTTATCACCAGCCTTCCAAGGCCATCAAGAGACTCACCAAGTCAATGTTATCTTGGAAGTTTGGGAAGAAAAAGCTAGAGTTTTAACACTCTCTCTCTCTCTCTCTCTCTCACACACACACACACACACACACACACTTATTTGCTCTGTGGTAGGCAATTAACTATTGTGTAAAAGCTTCATTACTGTCCACAATAAAGATTCTAATCTGGCTGAGGAACAGTTTTATGCCAAATCAATCCAAGTGCTGAAGAAGTGCATGTCTGGAGAACTGTGGTTTTCATGCTATGAAGCCTCACATGCTCCATGCTAGATGGCAGTTGTTTACTGATGTTTCAGCATTCCTGCCCTTGAAAAGTCTAGTTCCCAATATATCTTTCATATACACTTATGCTATTCCTTTTCAGGGTATGCAAAGCGCAGAAAAAGAAAAAAAGAAAAAAAGATAAGGGAAAAGGAAATCTACCTAAATTTAATTTACCCCACTGCCACTATTATATCTCTCCATTCTTTTCTGTCCCTACAAACTATCCTTGTTCCACATCCATGCATTATTAAACTTTTCACCTCTTTCTTTTGAGGATGTCATTAACTCTATTCAACAACATGTTTCCCTTCCTCTCAACCCATTCACTTTTCCTTCGTATATGTTTTGCCACTTGATCCTTACTCGTTCTTTCTATACAACCAAATAACTTTAACATACTTCCTTCATATTGATCACTCACTATTATATTCAGTCCACATTCATTCTGCATGCATCCATTACTGTCCATATTATTTCTTCTTTTTCACACGCACACTTATTAAGTTTCCCATGACCACTCTATTCAATGTACTTTTATAATTCTTCTGACATACCCAACTCTCACTTCCAAACAAAAAGGTGAATAGAAGGATGCTCTTATAGATAATCGTTTTTGCTTCTCTTAACATTCATTCCTTGCAACTCACTATTTAACCACTATACGACCCACCCACCCCATTCGCCTCACATATTCTTGCATGGCTAATTAGATGTTGATGGTTTTGAGTTTTGTTCGTTATGGAGCATTCAGTTCATTCTGAGTTTTGTCCTATTAGGAGACAGACAACTCAGAAGATCTTGATGGAGTGTTACAATTTGGGCTGTTTTGTCCCAAAGTCAAAATAAAACATATTTTCCATTTCAGACTACTAGAAAGAATCAGGATAGAACACTGGGAGACATTAGAAAGAGAAAAAACAATCACATCAGGTTTTTAGGAGGCAAAATAAGCAGGACTATATGGTTTTGAGGGTATATTTCCTACAATTTCTAGAGTTGCCTCAAGTGTATCAAATAAAGGTTCTTTTGGCAACTAATGATTCTTCTTCTATTTAAGATTAGAATGTGGCTCAGGATTATCCCAAGACTCCTAACATGAGCACATGGGAGGCTCTATCATGCAATCATAGGAAAAATATTAACTTGTAGTTGTTTTACTAGTTTTATAACTTTATTTATTTATTTACTTATTTATTTAGTGGTATGCCAGAGATGTTGGCCCTTTGGAGACAGGAAAGATGTTGGAAAGCAGCTCTACAAATCAGTACTATTGTCACAATATGTGATATGTACACGCCTGGTGGTAAAGGCCATTTTTAACTAATCAGTTTGGTTGAAAATGCTTCAAGAAGTTAGTTTTTAATAATGAATACTAATGTAATTTTAGTGTTCATGTTTTGGGACATAAAATGATGCAGCAAAAGAATTTAATTCAATTTTATAGTTAGCTGTATAGTTAGAAGCACTAAGTTTTATAGTTAGCTGTATAGAAGCACTAAGTTCATATTTCTTTGGATTAATTATATTTAAAGATGCGAGCCAGAACATTCACTGAAAAATTAACAATCAGCAAAGAATCTTGAACAAAACTTTAAATATGTTTATTCACATTTTGTCTCAATGTGTTAATTATATCAGCAAAGCAATTCCTAATATATTACTTCAATGTATACAAATATATTTGGATAGGAATATTGCATATGTTTAAAATGTAATGTTTCTGCCTAAGATTACAAATGTATTTACATGTATTTATATATGTTTCAAAACTTATTTTTTGGTTTTATGCTTTCTCCTTTTTACCATCTTCTTTTTTTATTTAAAATAGTTTATTAAATACTATATGTTTCAATAATTTTTAAAGAAATAAACTGATGTAAGTGGAACTGAGGGCGTAAGATTTTTCTAGTTTTTTTTTTTTTTTTGAGTTGGAGGTTTAAGGAGTAAAATTGTGTCTTTTGATCCTTAAAATCTCTCAAAACAGGAGAAATTGGCCCAATTTGGGGGAAGCTCAGGTTTCAAAGCACCCCAACCCCTAGGCACAATAACAAAAAACTAATGTGAAAAATAGTGGCCCTCTGGAGGCTACAAAAAGGGTGCTGGAAGGCCACTATATTATTTATACTTCTGATATAGAAGATACTGACAGCAGTATACTGTGCACATTTTTGCAAAGTATATTAGTTATGAGCCATGTGTCTAACTTATTATATTCTTTGCATAAGTGTTAAACTCAAACAATAAAAACTGATAATCAATATTAAAATTGCAAAAGAACAAAGTGGTTAATATTCTTACCATATCTACTGACAAAGAAACATTACCAGATTTTCACTTGTACCATAATGCCGATTTATACTTGTATATATGGACCACATAAACATTTTAGTTAATATCTGAATAAACTTTGAAATTTATCCTGGAATTCAATATATTCTCAATGAAAAAATATTTATGCTATAGTTTTGTAGCACTGGGAAAAGCCACAGTCCGATTATAAATTGAAAAAACATGTTCTCTAAACAACAAAGAGATACCTGTCTTAGAATCAGGCAGAATGCATTATTTAAAGAGAATTTGGCTTGGCATACAAAATAAGCATTTCAGTGCAAAATGAGTGATGATAGAATATTTAAGCAGACTAATAATAAAACTACCATAATGAAAAACCTACCACTGTTTGCTCCATTGCCTGTTTCCAGCTTCTCTGTTGATGATTTCCGAGAGTACTGAACACCATCTGGCTCCTCCAGTAAACAGTTTTGTTGATACTGCTGCTGTTCTCTATCTTCAGCAACAAATACAATTATACCTAAGCAAATAGTTACCAGATGTTCTGTTAATCAAAGCATCAGTTTCATAGAACCAATTGCTATCTTCATCCCAATGTCGATATTGTGCTTAATTACAGAAAAAAATCCAAAGTTTTAATTCAAATTGAGTTTTGGTATTCAGTACTTTATTTTGGAAACATATGAAAATATTATTTCAACAATGCAGCAAAAATTACAAATTTTGAGATCCTCCCAAAAAATGTTTATAGTAATATCCTTATTTGAGGTGGAAATAAGGAAGATTTCATTATTTCCTCTGCCTCTTTTCCTCTCTCTTGGGGAACTTATCAGAGCACTTCATGGTTGTGAGGTAGCAGGGTAAAAAGGAGGAGAAGGCTAGCTGAAGCAAGGTTTGGTGATGATCTTCCTCAGTCTTCCATTCATAATTCTTTCCCACAGAATTAATACAAAGAAAACAATACAGATTACAAATGTACTGGGTTTCTATGGACATAGTACATTGGCTTCCAGGATAGTCTCTATATTAGAGACCCTAGCTTCAATAGTGTGAGCATATATGGGGTAAAACTAGGCCTTGGTCACATTTGTGGTATATTGGTCAGAATGTGCCAAAAGTGACAGGGACTATCCGTACTGTTAGTAGGTCACATCCATGTGGCATGCAATATGACTAAGGCTGTAAACTAGTATGACTAATGCCTGTACCCTAGTTATTCTGTTAGGTGACATGAATGAATGGAAACATACAAGTCAATACGTAAAAAGTAGCTGAGCCATCCAGAAACCCAAGAATAATTGAGAATGGTTACTGGTATCTACTTAGAAAAAGTGGCTTCTTTTGAATATGCAATCTCACTAAGTCTATTCACATACACATATGGCAAAAACAGCAATCTAAATCGCAATTTTAAAAAATTGATTTGATTGTTTATAATGAAACACTGAAATAATTAATGAAGGATACAAGATGATGAAAGCATCTCAGTGTCAGATACCCCAATTTTTTTGGTAGTACCTAGGGTGGACCCTTGGGAAAATTAGACAAGGATGAAAAGAAAAGAAGTGAGAGTGGAAGTCGATTGGCTGTGGGAAGAGAAAGTACAAGTCCTTTGAAAAAGTATTAGAAAACAAAGTACTTTCCCCAAAAATTAATGGAAAGTAGATGGAGGGAAAGAGGAAGTATCAGCTCTTCAAGGTAGGCCAGTCTAAGAAACCAAAGTTGTGCATGCTAATACTACTTTTATTATAAAATTAAAGTAACAGAATCTTGCAACTCTGAATGTGCTTTCACCCTCCCTCCCTTTATCTTCACGAGAACTAGGGAGGATCTTGTCTGAGATGCTTACTCAGGTTACAAGTCTGGCCTGGACTCAGATTTCTTTCAACTGACCATTGTCTTGGTTGTGAGTCTTCCTCCTATTCTTCAAGGTTATTCCTCTGTCCATTACAGGAAGTTGCTTGGAAAGGAGTGGGAGAAATATAAAATGCCACAGAATTGTATGGAGCTATGCTAATAAAAAGTAAGGAAAATGATGCTTAGTGGATGAAGTTAAACAGATTGTGGATGAGGGAAAAAAGCCATGTAAGACAATGAATGCTGTAAAAAAGGCATGAAGATATTTCATAATGTAGAGGAAAAGAATGTAGTTAAAGAGCAAGGAATAGTTAAGATTTGTAAAAGACAGAGACAATGCAGAGGAATTTGTACCAAGAATTAATGCAAAAACTACAGGGGAATTAGTTTGTTATGTAAACTTGGGAACAAGTTTGATAGATTCTGACTGAAAGGGTACAGGAGTGATAATGAACAAAGCTTGGGAAGTGTAGTGTAGCATTATGCCAGCTAGAGGATGAGCACAACAGATTTTTGTTCTTCAAAAAGGAATGTGTGAATTCCTTCAAGTCACTAAGGAATGTGTGAATTTAAGAAAGGATTACTTGTCTGTTAATCTAGCTAACATGAATAAGCTTCAGCTATGAGATGTTTTGCTTAAATATGGAGTTGAAGACGGATTGCTGAATGCAACAATGGCAATTTATAATGGAAGTAAGCTTGTGAGAATAAATAATCAGAAATGGCTCTGCACTGAACAGTAAGTAAGATAAAAATGTATGATTTTTATTATGTAATGGGTTAATGGAAAAATATAAAAGGAATACCTGTGGTGATACTAGAGTTCTGTTGGTTTGGGACACAAATGTTGGTGTACCTTTGTATGCAGATTATGCTATGCTGGTTGAGAATCTGAATGATTTGTACTGAACATTAGATGGATCATATGATTCAGCAAGGCAGATGGATCTGAAATTAATGTGTTAAACACCTAAGTAATTGTGTTTGTGAAAATGGAATGAACAATTGCACGTTATACATATATGGTGAAAAAGTAGTAGAACAAGTACCACCTTGTGTACCTTAGCAAAATGGTTTTTAAAGATGGGAAAATGGATGAATATTAAGATGGTCAAATGCTGGAAGAAAGCTCGTAAGTAGTATGTGGTCTGCTGGGAACAATGTATGATGAAAGAAGCAAAAATGCCTATGCATGAGATTGTACTCCACTTTGTTATATTTAGATGAGAGCTGGGAATAACAGAAGAAAATAAAAATTGAATGCAGTAGGAGTGGATAAGTTTGTGTCTGGTAAAATAAGAAGGAAAAAGAGAAAAAGGAACCAGAAATAAACAGTGCACAACCATTTTGAAAGGACTGCGTCTAGTTGAGTGGTCATATAGCAGAATATATAAGGATCAACTCACATAACAAATATATGAAGAAATCATGAATGAGGAAGGAGAAGAGGAGCTTAGAAAAATAATGGATGGAGTTGATATCTTTAAAAAGAAAGAGGTGAGAAATCTGAAGAGCCAAAGGCAACATATTAATTGATATAAGGAGGTTGATTTGCAGGTATAAAAACTCTGTGAAGAGGTATAGTGAACAGTGTTGAAGTAAACTAGTTTTAGTTAGATTTCTTTTTTTGTTTCTTATTTCCTGCCTTCAAATTAATTTTTGCTCACTACTTCTTACTACAGTGGGGCAAAAAAGTATTTAGTCAGCCACCAATTGTGCAAGTTCTCCCACTTAGTTGAAAGTCCGTGTTGCCCAGCGACAGCCCCAAAACATCACTGCTCTAGAGGAGATCTGCATGGAGGAATGGGCCAAAATACCAGCAACAGTGTGTGAACACCTTGTGAAGACTTACAGAAAACGTTTGACCTCTGTCATTGCCAACAAAGGATATATAACAGAGTCCCCTGCTTAAGCCAGTACATGTCCGGGCCCGTCTGAAGTTTGCTAGAGAGCATTTGGATGATCCAGAAGAGGATTGGGAGAATGTCATAAGTTGAAAGTCCGTGTTGCCCAGCGACAGCCCCAAAACATCACTGCTCTAGAGGAGATCTGCATGGAGGAATGGGCCAAAATACCAGCAACAGTGTGTGAACACCTTGTGAAGACTTACAGAAAACGTTTGACCTCTGTCATTGCCAACAAAGGATATATAACAGAGTCCCCTGCTTAAGCCAGTACATGTCCGGGCCCGTCTGAAGTTTGCTAGAGAGCATTTGGATGATCCAGAAGAGGATTGGGAGAATGTCATAAGTTGAAAGTCCGTGTTGCCCAGCGACAGCCCCAAAACATCACTGCTCTAGAGGAGATCTGCATGGAGGAATGGGCCAAAATACCAGCAACAGTGTGTGAACACCTTGTGAAGACTTACAGAAAACGTTTGACCTCTGTCATTGCCAACAAAGGATATATAACAGAGTCCCCTGCTTAAGCCAGTACATGTCCGGGCCCGTCTGAAGTTTGCTAGAGAGCATTTGGATGATCCAGAAGAGGATTGGGAGAATGTCATAAGTTGAAAGTCCGTGTTGCCCAGCGACAGCCCCAAAACATCACTGCTCTAGAGGAGATCTGCATGGAGGAATGGGCCAAAATACCAGCAACAGTGTGTGAACACCTTGTGAAGACTTACAGAAAACGTTTGACCTCTGTCATTGCCAACAAAGGATATATAACAGAGTCAACTCAGCATTCTCTCTCCTTAAGTGGGAGAACTTGCACAATTGGTGGCTGACTAAATACTTTTTTGCCCCACTGTATATTCTCTGTTTTGCATAATGTTGTTTCCTTTTTTTATTGAACACTTTAAAGAAAACATGTAAACAAGATAAAGAAAGCAGGAGAAAGGATAAAAGAATAACATACAAATGAATAAACAAGGGATTTACAAATGTCATGGAGGTCAGAGTTTTCCCTGTATAATTAGTTAGTTGTGAATAACGGGATGTATTATATCATTTTAAAAGTCTAAAAACCACTATTAAACTCTAAGCAGAATATATCAGTAACCATGATCAAAACAAGGGGAAAAATCACAGAGTAAGATTATAAACTACAATAAATTCTATCCACATTACTAAAAGTCCGTTGGATAAAAGTGACATACGGTATAAGCTCTAGGCACAGAAAAACCCAAACTGGTACAAATCTCTGTGTTAGATTATAGTCTAGGAATACTTTCCAATTTGAATTTAATTCTGTGCAAGATTTGCTTTTAAAATATGAAGTTATTCTAGATAGTAAGCATATCCCAACAACTTGTTAGCTATTCTTACACTGAAGGGATCTAACAACTTTTCCAGAAAAAAACATGTAATATCCTTGCAGCAGTTAGTATGTACAAAGCTAACTCAGTAGAGTTGGAAGGGATATGTGATTCAGTAAAGTTTAATAAAATATTGAAGGTTAAAATGAGAATTCAACTTTTAAGATTTGTTTCATTCTGGCAAAAGTTGTTTCATTCTGGTATGAATCAGTTTCCAGAATTGTTGAATTTTGCAACATTGCCATCAGATATGAAAGAATAATCTGACCTGCTCATTTCCAACAAAGTTTAGAAAATGAATTATCTGCTTTGGCAATAAGAATTGGAAAAAAATATACCAACAGTAAGACATCTGTTGTGAGCTGTCCAGAGTTGTGTTTCATAAGACTGGTGGCCCTTTAAATCAAATAAATAAATAAATATCTGCATAAATAGGAGATGCCACTTCAACTTCTTTAAGGTTGGTTAACAGCGAATTAGAAATCCATCACATATCTTTGAATAGGGTTTATGAATCTCTGCAACATGTTTATATCTCCATGTATCACAGAGAGATAACAATAACATATAGGCTAGAATATTTGGGGTGTGTTGCCTTTTGGGTGAAATAGTTTTATCCACATATGGGGGAGAAAACCCATTCATATCTCCAAGGATTAAGATATATCCTTCTGCAATTTCAAGAAATAATTAAAAACATTTTTCATAAAACTTTTATTTAGGATATAAATTGTGATAAGAGATTTTTTCTGGATTCAGTCTGGAAATGCATTATTATGAATCTTCCTTCCTCATTTTGGATTTGCTTTTCTAGAGTACTTGGTAAACTTTTCACATATTCCATTTTTTTTCCATCTGTCCAACCCCACAAATTTGTGAAAGAGATGTTTACATTCCAGTAGATTCACACTGTCATTTTTAACATTTTAATAATTTTTTTAATTCAAGGCATAAATGTAGTTTTTTTTTCTTTTTTAACTTGATTTTTTCCCTTTAAATTGACTTTTCAGACTATTAACATTAATTTAATTTGATCCATGATAAATCCTAGGTTATTTTATGAAGAGATACCAGTTGCTTCATCCAGTGTTTTGATCTTCTCTCTGTTCTAGGTCTTTGATCCCATGTTGTGTTACAGATAAAGACTCAAGAATTCAGTTATCATTACTGATAGAATACACAAAGGCTTTCCCCACACCCCAAAACACCTCCAAACAAAATGGAGCAGCCCATCTGTATCTGACTTTTTTTGTGTGCTTTATCAGAATAACAGTTATAAAATATCTCAGATTTCTCCACCTCCTAAGTATATGCAGAGGTACATCTATAAAATCTCAATTATTGTATCTCCAAATTTTAAAGGAGTTTCATTTCTTTTTAGTTCTAGTATTGTCTCTTTAGTCTTGAAATACGTGAATTTTACAAGTATATCCTTTGGCAGTTTTCTACTCAAGAATTTATTCTGTAGATTTCCTGAATTTCCAGAGTTTCATCCATACCCAAGTTGAGATAAGTAATTTTTACATATCAATTTCTAGATCTTCTTTACCAGGTATACCTTCTTCATTATCAGGTATACCTCTCAACTTAAAGCTGATTTTATGTAGTCCTGTTTCTGCTAGTTCTAATTCAGCTTTCCTCTTGTTCAGTTCTGTCTGCTATGACTTCTGAAGACAATTCCAGATGTCCTATCTGCAATTTTTTTTAATCTCTTTATTCTGACATTCTACTTGAGTTGTTAACTTGTCACATCTGTCATTAATCTCAGTCTTGAGAGAGTCCAGTTTTGCTTCCAAATTTTGTGTTTGCTGAATTAATTTAGAAAGATTATCTTCTACTGTATGCAGCTCATCTGTAACAAATTCTTTAAGTTTGGGAAAGGAAGCAAAATAATCAGGCTGGGCTTCTTCCAATTTAGATTCTTCTCTATTATCTTTCCTCCCGTTCATTTTGGAGAAATAAAAAGCGATGTTACACCCAGAATTTCTATTCATTAAATTGAACCAAAGCCAATTATAACACTGAGACTAGGAGATTAAGTAAAATTCAATAATACTCCATATGGCATAGCCAATTAATACAGTATGAGAAGAAATAAGATAAAGAAAGCATATTATGCTACAAGTATTAAGCAATCAGTTCAGATGTTAAGAACTGAATTTCACTACATTTCATTTCATTTCAAAGGGGCATTTCATTTCAAATAAATATACTGTACCTTATGTTGGAACTTTCTTCTGTACTTAAGAAATATTAGAAAAAGAAAAATGGAGCTGATTTGAACTAGTTCAACAAATTGAGTGGCATGTATCTGGTTGAAGCAAACTTCTTCAAATATCTCCAAATTAATAACCTTTTTAGTTATATAGCTGCACTGGAGTTTTATGTCCTAGCAAATTTCCCTTTGGGTTTCTCAGAAAGTAGAAAAAAATAGAAATGGGAGAGTCCTTACTGTGTTGATCAGATTAACTATTCTTTCAAATAGTTCTCCCTTTAAATAGAATTTGGAGTTCTAAATTTTGTTAAAATGAAAACAATAAGCCATTGAACAATCCATAAAGACAAATATGCCAGTGCAGAAAATTAATTCAGCTGTCCTCCTAAACACAGAAAAAAGAATTGTAAGCCCCATTAGAAAACTTTAAACAGATGTTCAGAAAGAAACAGTTCAAAAATTCAGACAAGATGAATTTTATATAAGATATAACTTAAGATATAACTTAAAGATATAACTTAAACTAAAGTTAAACTTAAGATATAACTTAAACTAAAACCTGAAAGTTCAGCCTAGGTATCTTCCATTGGCTGTCATACATGCTGCTGTAAACTGCAGATGGCTGTTCAGAGACTGATGTAAATCTCTTGAAGATGTGTAATCCTAGGGGTTTGGCCCTCAGGAACAGCTCCCAGAGGAAAGTTGCTCTCCTGCCAGATTCTTGGCAATTAACAGCTAAACATATTTTCTTCTGCAGTTAGGGAGGGGAATGGAATAGCTTCTCTGCTGTAAAAATCTTCAGTGTCCCTAGTGAGCCACCACCTAGGATTTTTTTTTCCCCTTAAAGAGATTAGAATTATTGTGAAGTAGAATTCTGGGTGTTAAGCTAAAAGCTCTTACCAAATTCATCTTCTCAGGGAAAAAATAAAGTACTAGCTCATCTGTAATCAACTAGGTGCTAGGAACACTCAGACAGAAAGAATGCTGCAAGTGAAGTGAGACAGTGAAAGTGTCAACTACAAGAATGCTAACCAGGACAATAAGGGATTAACACATAACACTGGGAACTCCAGGTTTTTAGATGGTGGCTAAAGGAAGAGTTTCTTTGACCCTTTGTTTCAAATCTAGGGTACCACTGTAGTTGACCCCGTCTCACCTTTTAACATGCCTATTAACGTGCACATCCTATACCCCAATCTATGAATTAGAGTCAAATTAAATGAATATTACTATTTGCATACATCAATTAAGAGAGACTATAACCCTCCCCTCTTCAATCTTGTCTGTGATTCCAGCACTAATCAATTAACTAATTTATGTTTCAACTAAAGTGTTCTGATCTCCAGCTTAAATAAGCTAAAAAAAATTCCTACAACGGGTATGTGTGTGGTTTGGACTTGGATTTCTCACATCCTGCAGATACTATCATCTTTATTTTATTCAGACAATATGCTTTTATTTGATCAATCCAATTTTACATTTGCACTTTCAGTTAAAAAGATGTCAAGTACAAATGTGAAAAGAAAAGGAAGCATGGATTTGCTGAAACATGAAGGAGACAGTGACAAAGCATCAGTCAGTTTCTCATTTTGCACCTTCAGTTAAAAAGGTGAGGAGGAGAAGAAAATGATGGCTGCAATGGAAAGGGGATGGGAAATTAGGCAGCATCCTATGAGGGTCCTTCAGATGATGTACTAAAGACTAGAAACAATCTATTAGTAGAATAATATGCCATTTATTATATTGGTGAGGAAGACAAAGAGAAGGTTGGAAGGGTGAGGAAGCTAATATACATAAGGTGGAGAATAAGCAAACATGTATAGTGGATGTAAAGCATATTACACCAGAAGCAAAGGAAGCCAGGAGAGAAAAACAGGGAAAATGAAATTTGGAAAGTAAAATGGGTAGATATCCAAGGTAACTGGTGTGCCCAGTTATGCCCAAATAAACAAAAAATAATATTTTTTTTTATTTTCACATGGGAAGAAATCATATTTTAAAAATGTACTAGTGTTTGACTGAGACTATAAGCCCAATAAAATGTTACAACATATTTCCCATTTGCAGAATTGGGTAAACACATGAACAGTAAATTAAGGATTTCCCTCTTTTGAGAAAGTCAGTCAACATTTTAAAGTATGATGAAGCATTATGAAATAACTTTAAAAGGGTAGATATATTTTGATAAGCATGGTCAGTTTGTTCAAAATAACTGACATTAATGGTAAGGAATTCATGAGAACCCCAGGAGAGAAATAATGGCTTTTTCTACAGACATTGCTACCCGTCAAGAAGGTTGCTACTTTATTTAAAAAATGATTACCCTCTTTAGTGCTGAGAACTGCTGTGACAAATGTAGCAGAGAACATTCTGACTATGAATGCAGTCCTCTCATGAAAATGAGTGACTCCCTTGGGTGGTAATCGAATCACAATAGACAAAAGTGACACAAACCAAGTTCAGCATGATGAAAGCAACAGAGCAGAGTAGATAATGGGCTGGATAAAAAAAATGAGAAATAGTTTTCCTAAACTTTGGAAAACATATGATCTAGATTAGAATTATTCTAGGGTTAAAGTATATTTTATGGGCTTTAAAAGAGGAAGAGAGAAAAGCTTTTCTAATTGGTTCTTTGAAAAATAAAACAGGTTAGAGATCAGATAATTTCATGAGTGGTTAGCAGTCCTTGTTAATCATCTGCTAATTATCCCATAGCTGTAATCTGATGCTAGGTTAAAATTAAAACATACCATTAAATTTTCCACGTTTCCATGGAGATATATTCAGAGTATAGGCAGCTGTATCACCAGGTTCTACCTTCAAAGTCATTTCACCACTCACTATCAGAAGATCTGAAGACACCTAATATGACAAGAAAAAAAAAAAATCTCAACTACAACTTCACTGCAAATCATGTAGAAAATCTAGCTCTTAAAATGAGTTCAAATGTCAGTATTTTTCTACCATGCTTAATTAGAACTACCAGATCTTCACTACAAAACTGCAAATATCCACACCTCAAAGGTAGCGTGTTACTGCTATCACTTTGATCATCATCTAGTGGTCGTCTGGATTTTGCAGCTCCAGCTTAGTTGATTACTTTTTGAAGGAAACAATTTCTGGGGTGTCATTTCAAATGTATTAGGCTCAGGTATAATAACTTTTGAAAATCTTCTGACAAAGTGAGGGTTGCAAGATCAAGACCTTTTTCTAAAGTTTTAAAATCATACAGTAAATTTAAAAAGCAAGAAATACTCAATAAACTCATATGTCTATAAGCATGTTGCAAACCTACAAATTATTTTAATTGACATCTGTCATTGAAAAGAAAAACTTTACAGAGCAATGCTTTAGAGGTCTCTTTTTATTCATATATACGTTGTCTTCTTACTCTTAACAGGATATTTTTCTTATTTTAGTGTTAAAAACTGTTTTCTGAGGGAATAGATGGCTTGCATAATTGATAAAATAATGAAAATCAGAGGTAGACAGCCTGAAACCCCAGGACATCATGCAGTTCTCGAAAGCTCCTAAACATACAGACCCTAAAGACTCACAAAAGTTAAAATTTTCATTGTGGCAGAATGAGAAACATTATTAAATATATGACTAAGAAGAAATATTTTTAACTATATAATTTTAATTAAGTATAAATTAAAATGAAATAAATCTAATTTAATTTGTCTTAACTCTACTTACTTACTTCTTGAGTAGGGCCTCTAGCATGGCACTCATAAATCAAAGGCAGCCTTTGTACAAGAACAATTATATTCTTAATATAAACAAACTCAGATCTAAACCTATTCATAGTTGAAACTGAGGCTGATTTCAGATTATAATATAAAAATAATAGACTAATCTAAAGTCACAAAGGTCTACCAGATTTTTGAAACACAGTAATGAAAGAGACTGAGTATTTCTGGATATCTGTTTTTCACCCAGCAATTAATAGGAGCCTGTGACAACAAGGAAAGCAGACAGATCCTCCCAGACTTAGCCAAGGACAGCTATTGACAATACAGAACCTTTTCCCCATCATTGGTCTAAGCTATATACACGGAGAAAAATTTGCTTTGGGAAATATAAAATATTTTTGCAGCATTTTTCTTATATATAGGATTCTGTAATGATTTCTAAGCTAAAAGATTAACAATACTAGTTAAACTTCTTGCAGTATGCTTACTGGTAGAAGTGAGAAAAAGAGACAGGTACACCAGTTGACTATCACTAAATATGTAATATTTAAAAGAATAAGTACAGTGGTACCTCTAGTTACGAACACCCCTCCTTACGAATTTTTCGAGATACGACCAGCTCCGGCCCCAAAAATTTACCTCAACTTGCAAACTTGCCTCGACTTACTAACTGGATCTGCGGCCATTTTCCGCCCATTCCACATGGTCCGTGGCCATTTTTCTGCCTGTTCCACGTGGTCCGCGGCCATTTTCCGCCTGTGCCATGTGGTCCGCGGCCATTTTTCCACCTGTGCCACGTGGTCCGTGGCCATTTTCCGCCCGTTCCATGTGGTCCGTGGCCATTTTTCTGCCCGTTCCACGTGGTCCGCGGCCGTTTTTCCGCCCCTGACACGTGGTCCGCGGCCATTTTTCCACCTGTGCCACGTGGTCCGTGGCCATTTTCCGCCCGTTCCATGTGGTCCGTGGCCATTTTTCTGCCCGTTCCACGTGGTCCGCGGCCGTTTTTCCGCCCCTGACACGTGGTCCGCGGCCATTTTTCCACCCTGCCACGTGGTCTGCGGCCGTTTTTCTGCCCCTGACGCGTGGTCCGCGGACACCAGAATGGATTAACGGTAATTACATTGAACCTTATGGGAAAATTTGCCTCATGTTGCGACCAATTCGAGTTGCAACCAGAGTCACGGAACGGATTAAATTCGTAACTCGAGGTTCCACTGTAATTCAGCAAAGCATTACCACTATTTCTTTTTTAGCCAAGTCTTTGTGTGAAATGTTCTAAGTTAGAGGTCTCCATTGTGAAGTCTGGGCATCTATACATCCTTATAACCTCTCTCCTGGCATCCTCTAGGTGGCTGGCCATGCCACCAGAATGAATGGGCACTTCACTCCCATCCCAGCATAGAACTGAAAGTGTCTACACTATGCATCCAAATGCCCGATATGCTTGCTGGCCATAAAGGCTGAGGAGCCCTGCTGTAATAACGCAGCTATGTTGTTACAGTAACATGGACAAGATGCCATGTAGTGACCATTCCTTTACATTAGTAAAAAAAAATTATGGATAAGGGTGGGTGGAGGGGAAGTGAAATAATTTGGAATGATAAATACATAGTGTGAGTGGAAGAGAGAAATGGCAAGAAACAGAATGTATCCATTGAACAAATTTCCACAGAATGATGTGGTAAAGCATCATAAGAACATTCCAGAGTTTGTTGACTCTTGATGACTGCCTGGACAACTCCCAGCAGTTTTCTTGGCAAAATTCCAGAAGTGGTTTGCCATTGCCTGCTTCCTAGGGATGAGAGAGAGAATGAATGGCCCAAGGTCACCCAGATGGCTTTGTGTCTAAGGCAGGATTAGAACTCACGGTCTCCCAGTTTCTAGCCTGATGCCTTAGCTGCTACACCAAACTGGCTTTTGCATTCAATAGTAAAACTATTAAAAACAAACAAACACAAAAACACAATTTAAGCATCTCTCATTTTAGCTTTTGTAGGCAAATCTTCTGATTTTGAGATGATTTTATAAAAAGAGGGGGAAATGTTAAATTTTGTTTCTGTTATTTTACTACTCTGAGAGTATTCAGGATGACAAGATGGAAACTGGTCTAACTAATAATAAAGATACAAAGGAACCTCAAACTAGTTGGGTGAAGGGAATACCTCTTACTTCTGAAAACCCATTACATCACATATTACATAATTGATGGCACTTTATATCATATGTGTAATGACATCATTGCACAGGTCGCCACAAATGATGTGATTTGCATTATTGCAAAATTACATCATGATATAAATCACCTTGAATTATGTAAAGTCAGTGTAAATTTATCTGCTTCATCTAGACCATGTCACAAGCAATAGACTTGTCTATTATTTCAGGGGAATGTCTGTACAGCAAGACATGTGGTCCACTACATCCAAAGTCTGCTAAAAGAGGGTCCATTGTATATTTATTAGATTGATTATTCTGTAAAACAATTATACAATCTCATTCAAGCTGACATACTTACTTTATATATCAATTCATTCTTAGTAAAATTTGGCACCATTATGACCTTCTGTGTAATTTGTCTAACTTGGCAATCTATCTTAATATGATCCAGTGCCAATGGTTTTGTTGCAATCCCTTTCAAGACAAAGACATGATCTGTACCATCTGCTTCATTTTGTAAAGTAAGCTTCCCCTGTGATAATGAAAGAAATGAACATTTATTATTAGGGTGAAAACAAGTAAATAAGAATACGATAAAAATTAATCCCCCCAAAATTGCAAAAACTCAATAGGGTTGGGGCTGTTCTAATCTCTAGGGGGATGATGTTCCAAAGGCCAGACACCATGAAACAAGGCTCCCTTCCTGGGTCCTACCAGATGACATTCCATAACAAATGGGACCCTGAGCATGCCTCTCTTGATGGACTTGTTGGGACAAATAGACATATTTGCAGAGAGGTGGTCCCTCAGATAACCTGGTCCCATGCCATAAAGGGTTTTATAGGTCATTACCAGCACCCTGAATTAAACCTGGAAGCATACTGATAACCAATGCAGTTTGTGGAGCAGAGGTGTAACATGAGCTGATTGAGGAGCACACATAACTGCCTGAACCCACTAGCTGTAGCTTCCAGATGCTGTTCAAGAGCAGCCCCAAATAAAGTGTAGTAGTCCATTTGGGAGGTGACTAAGGAATGAATGACTGCAAGAAGAGCCTCATGGTCCAGGAATGGGTGCAACTAGTGCACTACAGGTAGTCCTCAAGTTACAATGGCAATTGGGACTGGAATTTCTGTCGCTAAGCAATGCAATCATAAAGCTCAATGTCACATGACTGCATCACTTAGCAACAGCAATCCCAGCATTCCCCACTGCTGTTGTTAATTGAATTCCATTAATCGTTAGCTGAAGATTCACCCTGAACCAGGCCATTCCTGGCTTGGTCCCTCCCAGCCCTGAGCCTCAGTTCTTCCAAGGTAAAGGACTGCCTCCCCTTCAACTCCCTCCAACCGCCTATTTCCTCCCATTTCTGCCCTTTTGGCTGCTCTGCACCCTGGCTTGTGAGGTGATAAGCAGCCCCAGAACCATGCAGCTTCATCTCAAGGGCTTTTTGGGGCAGTGCAAAGCCACAGCCATCCCAGGAAGCTGCAGTTTCCCCAACCCAGCCCAGCAGCATGATAAGAAGGCACAGCCAGCCCAGCCTGGCCCAGCAGCATGGCATGAAGCCACAGTCTCCCCAGGAAGCCTCAGCCACTCCACCTGGCCCAGCCCAGCTCAGTTCCAGCCACAGCCACCCTCTCCCCACTGCACTCTGAGGTCCCTGCCGCCCTGTGCTCCACTGCTCCAGCTTACCTTCACTGTCTTCTTGCTCCCGCTGCTGACCAGGTATGCCCAGCCTGGCCCTTCGCAACTGATCATGTGAGGTCTTCTTCCCCAGGTCTTGCAAGGAAACCACCACACACAACCTTGGGAAGAAAGTTTCATGTGGCTAGCAACTGCCTCATGAAGGGCCAGGCCAGGTATGCTTGGTCAGCAGCGGGAGCAAGAAGACGGCGAAGGTCAGCTGGGGTGGCAGAGCACAGGGTTGCAGGGGGCCAAAAGGGCACAGATGGGGGGAGATAGGAGGGTGGGGGGAATTGAAATGCCCCTGCAGTCATAAGTGTGGGTGGACTGCCAAGCACCCAAATTTTGATAACATGACCACAGGGGTGCTGCAATGGCCGTAACTTCAGGCATAAGTACCAGGCATAAGTACCATTCGTTCAGTGCCACCATAACTTCAAACAGTTGCTGAACTCAAAGAATACCTGTATTGCTTACTATTTTCTGGAGCTAAACTGTATTTCTGAATGCAACTTTAATATACCCTAATATTCCTATAAGAAGCTGTCTATTATGGCAGCAAACATTGGAAAAAGGCAAAATAACTTCTTGCGATTCTGATCTTGCTGAACTCTGACAACTATTACTATCACAGAATCAAAAAAGTTCTGTGAACTTGGAGGTCATCTAATTGAATCCTTTATATATACAACATATCTCATATAACATCCAGACCACCTTAAGTTAAACATATATTTAACCATAACACAAACAAACAATATTATATTAGCATGGCCTATAACATTATTTGATGAATGCTACCATAGTACAGGAAAAAGCATAAACTACATATATGCTGCTATTCCAAAGCTCTCAAGAGCCAAGAATGAATTGTAGCATAAAGGACACAACAAATGTAAGAGTCCTGGTTCAGGTAATATAGTAAACTCTGAATTTCTGGTTATTTTAGCTGCACCTGTGGATAGGAGGATCAACTGGGTATGAACATATGTGCTAACATCAGCACATAGCTTGTTAACACTATATGCCGATTCCTGAAATCCTGGATGATCTGTGTTAATGTGATCAAAGTTTAAATAATTTGGTGAATGATTAAAAGATAAAACTAAAATAGATATGGCTATAGAAAACACTTCATAAGTGCAGGGTTTAGGTTTTCTTTTATGTATGCTTACATGTACAAATTGCACACTACTTTCGTCTGTTTTATAGTCACTATTTCTGTGTGATGCACTCTTGTCATATGTGCCAATGAGTATCATGCTAGAGAACCATTCAGAAAAAAAAACCACACACACATAAGTGATATTTTAATTTCTTACCTGAGTTACACATTCAGTAGTTGGCTTGAACGTGAGAGTATACAGAGTTGTTTCACCAGGAGCTACATATATAAGAGGAGGACCATAAAAACAGTATCCTTTTAAATCTGCTTTAAGCTTCCAATCTTGTTGACTCATATTAGTCTGAAACAGGAAAGCAGTCAATATTTTATACAGGCGCAAGAAATATAAGAACTTTAAAAGACAGCACAGAATGCAGGGCGGGGGGAGGGAAAGGATCTCAATTCAACATGCAATAACGAGATACTATGATTTTGGATATTTTTATTTTTACATAAACTGCTAAATTATTGTTGTAATTGGTACAATATCAGTAACAAAAAATACTTACTCTGAAAGATGTTACAATCTAATATTGACAGAAGGGAGGGAAGGGAAAGGAGCTGATATAAAAACACATTTAGATGTGCTTAAAAGTGGTTAGAAACAACATGAATGAGAATTAAAGGTTTAAATTGGAAGTCTCACAGAAAACATATGGTTTGAATAAACCTGTATTAGAGTGAGCTATATAGTAATTATATTACTAGAATGATTTCATAATTTAGTTCAAATCATACAGATTATGTACAAGATAGCATTTTGACCCTAGTAATATTTAACTTATTTACAATTAGCCTTATTTAATTTTCATAAAGTAAAAAAAAAAAGACATACTACTGGGATGTCTTGCGTCACTGCTTGATATGCTGGAGTTACAAACTCTAGTTCAGCCTCAATGGTATCAGTGTTCACCACACATTGTATCTTAAAGAGGCGGATGTCATACTTAGATTCCAGAAGAATATCACAAGGATATCGGCCAGCATACCGGGGCATAAACTTTAGAGGAAGTTCAACAGCATCATCTTCTGTGGGGGGAGAAAAAAGTGCTTCTAAATTCCATACTTCCATTATAAACAACGTTGCTGAGATGCATGAAACTTTTCAGAAGCTATTTGGAAAATGCACTTTATGCATCTGGCTGGAATATTGCAACGATATGAAAATAGGCCCAGAATTTGACTGGAAATTGATTTAGTCAATTTCGTAATTCAAATACGCAGAAGATAACTGAAATTAGCAACAGGAGTCAGTCTTCATAGATTTTGCTGTTGTCTTCCAATCATCATTTATGTTTATAGTTATAAAGCTATTTGTTGTAGCCTGAGGCTAGTACAATAATATTGTTTAGGGCATCAGTTAGCAAGCTGCAACCTTAATCAACATTTGACCACAAAAGAGCTGGCTTGCACAAAGCATAGTTGATGAATTTCCCTGCATTCAATTATACCAATCCATGAACAGCACAATGACCAGATCAGTGGGAAATACATCACTGGATTTCTGCCTCAGAATGACAGTGGTGATCCAATGACAGGAACCACAATAGCTGGGAAGAAGAGGGAAGCATGAATGATATGGCTGCAGTAATTAAGTTCTGGTGTTTATAAGAGTGCTAGAGTAGAGGTAGGATGTATATATGAAACTGTCAAAATTCAACAAGCAATTTATATGGCCTGTGGGGCTGAAAAGTTTGCTTATCGGGGTATACATTAATGGGATTGCTAATCATAATTAAGATCATGAAAAATCTAAGATCTCAGCACCATCAATGTCAATGTACAATTGTGCACTTACAAAAATATAAACACTGACCTCAAAAACTTCTTGTGAAGTTGCCTCACATATCACAAAAAGCTAATAACTTATGAAATCCTCTTCAAATGATGTAACATAACATGGAGATAGAAGCATTACATTATAGGAAAATTTTTAACAATTGAGTCAAATTAATGTGCTATAGAAAATCTGTGTTGAAAAACAAACTATTGATGGTGGTGTAAGCAAATTATATTAAACTTGTTCACTGAGAAAGAAGATGTTAAACTATGCATCCCCTGAAAACAACTATTTCCATCCTGTCCCCTCAGAAGACAAATATAAAGATGCTATAAGAGCCATTTTTGTTATATGAATCAGAAACAGATTTACTAGACTGGGTAAAGCACCAACAGGAAAAGTTAGCATTTTCTGCCTCAGCATCACAATCTATTGGGTGAAAAACAAGGTTGGGTTCCTGCACCATTGCTCTTAACCTAGAGGGAGCGTGCTCCATGTCCCATCATTAAAGTTATGCCATCTTTTGGGGCCTCAGAGATGTGTGTTTTCTGTGGCTGCACTTGTCCAATGGCCAAAAGTTCACATGGCCTCGACTCTGTTGTAATTTAGGAAAGCCCTAAAAGTGTAGCTTTTTAACAGACCCTGGGGTAGGAGAGTTTACTGGGATTTTATTCCTTGTTATATATCACCTAGAGCCATTTGGACAAATGAGACAACTTATACACTGAAAAAATAAATAACTGGGAGATTCTAATCATGAATCTCCCCAGTTGTACTGGTATGTGGGAATGGCCTTGGGAGACAGGAGGAAGACCCACAGCCTAGGCAATGGTCTGATAAGAGGCAGCTCAGTCTGCAGCTGGGAGAACGCATGAGAAGGGACCGTCCTAGTTTTCCAGAGAAAAGAAAGCAGGAGAGAAATACTTTCAGTCTTGCAAGATTCTGTTAATGTAACCTTACAATAAACTAGGATTAGTTCATCTGGATGTGCTTCTTGTCTGGACTACTTTGCAAGGATGACACCAGTTCATCTGACTGGTATCTCATAATCTGAATTATGGAAGAAAACTAGAACTAGAAAGTGAAAGAATACCACACTGGGTTTGTAAGATATGACTAAAGCTGCAATCCTACATCTACTTACCAAGACCAAGCTTCACTGAACAGGTATACATAAGTTAAAAGTAAAGACTGGCTTGAGTTGAGCAAATGCTCCATAGGGGGCTCTGGTTGTGTCTCTGTCCATTGTTACAAGCCAAACAGAAGCACCAGCTGGATGTGCTTGGAACTGGAGCTTGTGCACAGTTTAATAATGAAGTTCAGCAGATTCCAGGGATTGATCCCTGTGTTCTAGCGGGAGCCACTTCATAGGGTTCTGTGTGTCCCACTGCCCTCCTTAAGCCAAGCCTTCTGTTTGTGACAGTGCAGCTTGGTGACTGAAGGACATATCCATGTAGTTTTCTTGAAAACAATATGCAGTAGATGTAGATTACCATTGCTAGTTCTGAGATCTTTTTTAATCTCTTGTAATTTGCTCAAGAGTTTGATCAGCTTTATAAATTGTTCCTTCTTGTTGGTCTACTACTTTGATGGACAAATTTCCTTGCTAATTCCTGATTAGAATATTTTCTTGTAATGTCTTCATTAGTAATTGGACTTTTGAAAATTAAAATTCACTAACAAATTAAGTCTTTTACAACTGACATATGCAAGTAAGTGGATATAATAATTTTTGGAGTTAATAGTTCTCTTAAATAGAACTCTTATTTAAAGAGAATAACACACCATTGTATTATGTGCATCCAATATTACTAAGCTATCAAACAGATTATAGATTGCACCTTAGCTTCAAATTTATATGAAATAAATTAGCTCATTCTCTCATAAAGATAAGATTAATGACCTGCTAATTTATGAATTACCTCTTTTCTATTTTGTCACCAAGTTATTATCCTCACTGGCTATCTTTCAGAAAAACACTCACATTTGTCAATTAGAAAAGCAATACAACTAACTCATTTCCATATTCCTGGCACATAAATACATTTTCTTTGAATGAGATTATAACTGTCTCTTCTCATTTAAACAGGAGCACAGAAAATATCCAAATTAAAACAAAAGCTAATTTTTCAATATAAGAACTTTTGCTCTTTTAACACAATGCTGACTTAATTTATCTCAAAATATGAGCAATTTTTGACATTTAATATGTTGAAGTAAATCAAACTTCAGTAATAATTTATAGAGGATATGTTTTTTTCATCATCAGTGTAAGTTTAATTTAATTTCTCTAACCCCCATATTTTATTTTATTTTATTTTATTTTAATTTATTTTATTTTTCTCCCAAAGTTTATAAAGAAATTAAGTATTCATTTTATTTTATATGGCTTAATCCTTTTGGCTACATGTAGAGTTTCTTTTCATTATAAGACTGCAATCTGGTTTTGATACTTAGACTTAAATGACACTCAGTCTAGCAACTAAGAAAATAAACTTGAGGAGCAGAACAGTTATAGTTTCTCCTTGAATGTATTTCATTTCCATCACAGACAGATAATAAAATGGCTTAATAATATCCTGTAGGTCAAAATAAAAAAGAGGAAGTAATAGCATATTCAGTTCTGTAATATTATTGTAAAGACTGTAAACAGATCTAATAAAACAGATCTGCATATATAAGCAGTTCTTAACATGAATGAAGGTGCTAAATCCAAATGTCCTTTCCATTTGTATCCAAGTGTCATACTCATCTGACCATAACTAAAGTAACTGGGTATGACTTTTGTTTCAAGAAAGAAGTGCATTCACTTGGCTTGTTTCTAGGGCCAACAATTGTGATCCACAATTAATGGTCATAATTACAGTTGGATACCACTGCTAGTCTGGGACCTGAATACTTATATACAGGTAGTCCTCAGGTTACAATGGCAATTGGGATCAGGAACACTACTGCTAAACAATGCAGTCGTAAAGTGTGATGTCATGTGACTGTGTTGCTTAGCAATGGCATTTCCAGCAGTCCCAACTGCCATCATTAAACAAGGACCGCGTGGGTCGTTAAGTGAGGATCTCACATGATCACAACTTTTGACTTCCTACTGGCTTCCCCACTGACTTTGCTTGTGAGAAGCTGGCAGGGAATGCCAGAAATTGCGATCATGTGACCACACGGTTGCTGCGATGGCTGGAACTCTGAGGAGCCATCCTCCCCATTCAGCACTGTGGTAACTTTGAACAGTTGCTGAATGAATGGTCATAACCTGAGGACTGCCTATAATCTCAAAAGTTTGCAAGTCAGAGCATTTGGAGGTTATAAAAATAAAGTTATATTACTACAGGAAAATAGATAATCTGATCCAAGAATCTCCTCTATTATCATACTTTGTATTTAAAATAGGATATGACACCCATGGAATATTGCTAGAAGAGAGACAGAACCATAATAATATTGTATTAAAAAACAGATCTGAAGCACCAGTAAATTACCATGAAATAAAATATGTTTCTGATTACATTCTGCACTGGACAAGTATCTGAGGCAAAGTTCAGATGAAAATATGAAACTGTATTTTCATGTAGTTATAAAGATATTCAAGAAATTTGAATTCTAGCTAGTGCTGTTAAATAAGCAAATATATGTTTCTTGTAACTGAGCACAGAAAGTAGACCTATCAAATTTAGAAATAGGAAGCACAAAAGGCATATAGATAGTCCTCGCTTAATAACCATTAATTTAGTGACTGTTCGAAGTTATGATGGCACTAAAAAAAAGTGACTTATGACCAGTGCCCAAAATTACAACCACTGCAGCACCCCTGGGGTCACATGATCGTGATCTAGGCACTTGGCAACCAGCTCACACTTACGACGGATGAAGCACCTGGTGACACATGATCACCATTTGCGACTTTTCCAGCCAGCTTCCTGCAAGCAAAATCCATGGGGAACTGTGTGATTCACTTAATGGCCACATGATTCACTTAATGACCACAGTGATTCGCTTAAAATCTGCCGCAAAAAAGGTTGTAAAATTGGGTCTGGTCACACAATGATTCATTTAATAACTACATAGCTTAGCAACCTAAGTTCTGGTCCCAACTGGGGTCATTAAGTGAGGACTACCTGTATTTTGAAATATGTTTTGACTTAATACATTCTGGACACAATTTTCAGTTCATTAGAATATTTTAAACACACAAGTTTACAGTAGGTTTATATAAATGCCTATTCAGAAGTGAACCCTACTGATAATTGAGTTATTCCCACATTATGTTTAGAATGGCTGCAATAGTATGGATTACCCCAGAACTGGGAATATTATAATGGAAAATAAGATAACCACCTTGTAGCCTACAGTAGTCATGATGACTTATAAACAACTCCAAACTAATTCCTTTCTGCCCAATATTGAATGTGTACTACTCACTGGGTATCTCTTTGCTACACAAAGCTTAAGATAAAATTTTGCAGCAAAGCAGGTGGCACCTGAAAAAATATTCAGATAAATTGAGTCCTAGGATCAGATGGCACTTAATTCTTAATTTTGTTTTAGTTGCACTAATCTGATGCTTCTTACCTGCTTCTTTGTCAAGCCAACGGTCTTTTTTTCTACCCTTTGAGGAATTAACTCTGCTAGATGCTAACACAGGTATATATATTTTTGAAGGAATTTCAAAACACTCAGGCATGCTCACTTCAACTTTATATTCAATACATTTTTCAGAGAATAAAGGATAGTTGTGCAGAACATCTTCCTGTAAAAAATGGGATAGATATAGATTTAATAACCTGTGTGAGGATCCTTATTTTTACAAACAAGATTCAAAGAAAAATATGGGATTATATTTAGAGTTCACCTCTGAACAGCTGTAATTAATAGCTGAGAAATCTTTCTTGGATTTTTTTTTTAATACACCCTAGTACATGACATGTCAAAAGGAAGTTAGAATAAATGTATACAGAGTTTCTTACAAACTTAGAAAACCTTGAAACATAAAACCCCCTTAAAACTAATAGCATGAAAGAGCAGAGAAATACAAAGTGCTCAGGAGATAAGAATATTAATTTTGCTATTTAAATAAAAAATTATTCCAAAGGGAGCCAGAACATTATTGTCCATTATATTTCATTAGTAAATCCAATTCAGACTGACTTGCTTCGGCTAAGATATGTGTGCTATAAAACTGCATTTATGAAAACAACATGTTCCTTAATTCTTTTTTCTGCTTATTTTCTAAAATAGCAACACAGGAAAAAGTCATAAATGTCCCATTTTGCAGCATTCTGGGTAAAAAAAAAAATTTTTTTTAAGCTTTGGTGATTTTATAACAGAAGGGAGAAAATTAGACTCCAAAAGTTGATAGATAAGAGAAGGACAAAAAGTGCCTTTTCAAACTGTTTTATGTGCAATAAAAATCTGCTTAGCTATCAGTTTTAAAGGTAATGAGTGAAGCAAAATTGTACTCATATTTTAAATCAATTGTATTTTCACCTCAATTCTTGACAATCCTAAAGCTGCGACTGCAACTCGAACACTACTGCTCTCAAGTGTTCCTGTGGCCATTCTTCGCTCATATTCCAGAGCAGACATGTGTTGCTGTGCTGCGATAGCCAGAGCTTTCTCTCTCGCTTCATTGATCAAAGGGATCTTCAGCTTTTCTTGAAGTATATCAGTAAGGTGGCACTTCAGATAAAGAACTGGTGGTGTTTCTCTCTGGCCTGTAATACACAAAATCATTTGTCATCTGCCTTTTACTCACACTGCAGAAAAGAGAGTAAGCGAGAGAGAAAGATTCATCATTGCAACGGGATGTTGTGCCTCCTCTCTGTTGCTCTAATGCTGAGTAGGAAAGGGTAGCAGCATCATAAACTTCCCAGTAAAATTCTGCTTATGCAAGTTAATTACAATATGCAAGTATTAAATCTGGAACAATAGCACTGGCTTTATTTGCTTCTCTAAAATAAAAAGATGAGTTGGATATAATGGAGAAGTTTAGCATAGCCAACAACCAGTGTTGCAGACTTATCTGTCAGCAGGATTTCTGTTCCTTTAAAGACCAATGTGAAGTTTTCCATAATAGTGAAAATAAGTGAAAAGATAATTTTAATCAACTGATTTTTTTTTAATTAAAGCCACTGAAAAAAAAAGTTAACGTTTTTTCACTTATATTACACACTGTCATTATACAATTGAACATCAGGTTGAGAAAACTATCGTTTAAAACAGTTTAAACAAAAACTGAAGTGCTTTTAAGACTGAGGAAGGATTTCAAAAAAGGGTGTAAGTGCTTTTAAATGCAGAATAAGAAACAAAATAAAATATACTTTTCACCAGAGTAAAGAAATACAGTTTAAAATGTGCCAAAATGAAGCCATGATCAACTCGATGCAACCATTCCAAAGCATAAATATGAGAGAAAAACCATGAAATACGTTTAGTGATTGGTGCATGGCATACAAAGACCAATGTTTATGTAAATATGTGGTTGACAAAGTCATTTCCAGGTTTACAACTGAAACAGCTATTCAGAAGCATAAGAACAAAAGTAAATTCTGACTGTGAAAAAAACTGGATGCACTTAAAGAGAGACAGATCAAGTAAACTGTTAAGAGGCATTGCATGTCCTATTGACAATACAAACCACCAAATCCAGTACAATACAGTCCACCAAATATAGTATGGTTCAATCCACCAAATACAGAAACATGTCTTTAAACCAATAGTATTCAGAACTGTAGAAATATTTCTCTTTGATACAATTATATCAGTGTAAGCCCTGTTCTGGAGAACCTAGAGCACAATGACTCCATGAGCATCAATCCCTTACTGACAGGACAGTTTTTTTGTTGTTTAGTCATTAAGTCGTGTCCAACTCTTCGTGACCCCATGAACCATATTGCGCCA